TAAAGAAGAGACTTGATCGCGCGAGGGTACGTCGGATACTCCACTCCAGATCCTCTCTCGCGCGGTAGAGTCGATATGATACAACAACAATATTTGGGAAAGCCCTCGAAAGCCCAGGGGTCTTTGACTCCTGTGGGATACAAGTGCCGGGAGTATTTTCTCCCTTGACAGAGAGAAGTATGAGTATACTTGTTGAGCCATGCGTGACATTATCCGCGATGATAGCGAGGCTCAAGAGGCTCTATGGATGATTAGAGCAAAGTGCCGCTCTAGTACAACGCTTAGTGTATCCGACGCAAATTAATCGTGGGAAGAATTTCTTTCTCTTTTTTTTTTTTTTTTACATATGTATATCGATCGCGCGAGGAATTTCCCCGTGGACGCTCGAGAGACTCGATTATCCGTAACAGATTTAATCCCGATAGGGGCACAATAAGAGACGTCAATCTCTGCTCTAGGTTTATGAAGTTTTATACCCGTCTCTTGTAACATCGAGAAATAATTTTCTCTCACACTATCCAAGAGAGAGGAGAATTTTTATTATCGAGTCTGCGAGTAGAATATCACGGACGCTATACGCGCCATTTTATATAAATATAAATTACGATAAGTAATAATTACAATATTATTAGTGGCTGATGAAAATTATATTCTATCAGTTCAGCGCCATGCTGTTTGAAATAATAATAAGTGTTTATATGTCCATGCGGCGATTGAAGTAGTTAGCGAGTTATAAAGCAAATGACTCTTTTGCATCGCACGGGCCTATTGTGTCGATCGATGATTGATGCGCGTGTGCGATTCACCTCGTGAATTCATCCATCGATTGCCTCTAGTGTAGCTGAAGCTGCACGCGTCGAATGTATACACAATTGACGTTTCGCGATCGAAGGGCTTAACGAACGATCGAGCAAATGATGGATTAATCTACCATTAAGTAGACAAACGCGCGCGCGTCAAAATATCGTCAAATGAATTTTGAATAAGACTAAATGGCAAAACTTATACAAATTTTTCTCTTAAATCGCTCTCTTTTCTGAGATATATCCAAGTCAAATTTTTTTTCTACTTTCGATCAATTTTTAATCTAACATAATTTACTTTGATACTTTAAACAGACTGATCACTCTCTTTTCAAACTTTTTAATCTATAATTTTGCCCTCTAATAAGGAAAACTGTTCGTTTACTGCCTATTTAAAGTGCAAAAGAAACATTCAAATTTTAAATTGATTATAAATTGCATTTATATAAATGTATAAGTTAAAAATTTTAATAAGTAATAAAATATTATTACCTATTAAAATTTAGAATCTAGAATTCATAAACATGAGAGTGAGCACTGTAAAAAAGATTGACTTTTTTGCAGACACACTGTCTCAATTTTCGGACAAAATGCTCTCTGAATTTCCAGACGCACTTCAATTTTCAGAAAAAAGACTCTGATGATTAAGACAGATCGTCCGAAATTTCTTTCGGACACCCAGATCTGAATATTCAGATGAAAATGTGTCTGAATTTTTAGAAAATTTTTTACTGTAAGGTTGAAAATTTTCGACTTGAGTAGGGACGTTGAACGAAATGTTAGAGTAATTATTATTCTCTCGCATATTTTGTCATAATTAATTTTTTTTTAACTATGTTATTCTTGAAAAAGTTCAGAATAATGCATCTCGAATGTCCATGAAGTAGGGCTATTCGAGGAGACGCGAGCGCGCGCGCATGAACTTCCGGAAAAGATAATTAAGCAAATTGGCGACTACAGAGATGTCGGAAGGAGCGATTGCACCGCGCGGCGTTACCGCGTTGCTTTGACCGCACAGGACATCCTGGCGATACGAGGATCCTTTGGAGAACACAGGACATGCTTAATTTGCTGCGTCTGCGGGCAGAGTAAAAGCTCCCAAAGCTCCGTTGCGGATAACGCGATTAAAGACGCAATCTCGCTGACAATATCAGATCTCCCTATCAGACCGAAGGGGGCGCGGATAGAGGCGATAGAGGTTAATTAGAAAAGCGACGGAATTCTGCGGCCAGGAGCAGTATCGTGAAACGTCGATAACATTATCAGCGTGTCACGGAATTGCCGAGGTCCGAGGCAGGCCAAATTGGACGAAAAGATCGAATCTCCGGCTTCCGGACAGACTGCGGTCAAGCTTCCTCGATGTTTGCGCGGAATCGAGGATACCCTCGCTTCAAACACGACACTTATGGAAATACTGAGCTCGTAATGACAGCGACGAACAATGCTTTGAAAGCCGAACGCATCAATTTTACTTCAAGCCTATCTTAATAAAGTCAACGTCGTCTTATTTACGTAGCAGATGAGAGCAGATGGCCAATCTTTAAATTGTCCCATTTACTTAAACCGTAGCAAACTGTCGATGAAATTAGACTAAAATGTGCGATTTATCTAAGTAAAACTTGACGCAGAGCAGATTTAATTTTACAAGTATACATCTTAATTTGATAAGAATTCGTTCAATCAAGATTTGGTTTGATTGCCATATCGGATATCAAAAATGTTGTCTTATCAATTCGTTCAGTTCGCTCCGACGTAAATCAACTCGATCATCACAATCGTGGACGATTCATCGACGATTAATACCAGTCGCTCTTCGACTTACCGCAGTTCATCTTGCAATCCACGACGGAACGGGACAGATCAAGACCGTTCATCGGTGACTCGCCTCGGATCCGGAATCCTAGATCCTCCAAACGACTCTGAGGATTCGGAGACTTCGGAGGATACGGATCACTCCCGACACATCGGCATCACAAGAAGTTGCCCTCTCACGAGATCACATCAACATCACGAAAATGACGAGCGACGAGGTCGGCGGGAATTCGGGCCGAATGTCTTCATGATCGAGCGATCGATCGGTTAGACGGGTCGGCTGAGAACGCGGTCGCGACTCCGACTGGGACCCGAGTAACCCCGTTTACCTCCGGGGGGGTAGATGCGATCGCGCACCGGGGGGGATAGCGCCTGAGCCTCTCCAGCGAGCGAACGGACTGTAGTAGGTAGGTAGGTAAGTAGGTAGGAAGAGACGGACACAACGGAAAGAGCGCTGCTCCGTGTCAGCTGGCCCTTGGCGGACTAGAGGATCCAAAATCTGTTGAGAAGAGGATGGCACGACGAGGGTTCTCTCGGGGATCCCAGGGACGATACACGGGGTGTGGCGGGTCACCTCCAACGGGACCTCTGGTTGGTTCACGGGCGGAGCCACCCCTATCGCATCGGGGGTCCCCACCAAGGCGACTACAGCATCCCTCGGGAGAGCGAGCGAGAGGAACCCGGCGCTTCGGCGATGGAGCGTAATGCGACTGTCTGAGAGAACACGAGGAGGGGATAACAGAGGGAGGGGGTAGCGTAACGTGATGCTGATAACGAAGGAGATTTCGCGGTAGCTGAATGTCAAAGTCGAGCACGGGATTCTATTCTCGAAGACGCGAGAGCTCTGAGTTAAAATCGATTTTCACGCGAAAAGAATGAGACGCAACAATTTTATCCACGAGTAATAATGTAAATGAATATAATATTATAATAATATAATAAATATAAAACAATATAATAATAAAATGTAATACAAATGTAATAATTATATTTATAATTACTGTAAAATTTCTGGATTTTTATTTGTAGCATATAATGTATGATCCGTTTTAACAAGAAACTGTTTATGTTAAATTTTAATATATCCATAAGAAAAATAATGGACCAAAAGAAAAACTTTAACAATTTAAATAAATAATTATTTAAATAAAATTTTAAAAAATAAAAAAAAAATAAAATTGTTATATCGAATTTTTAAAATATAAGATAAGAAAATTATAAGTAAATCTTCATGTATAAATGATAACTTTTTATATTCCTCTTATGTTCGTGAGAGCTTTTTAAATTGGAATAATGCCAGCATGACACCAATCATCTGAGAAAACCGTCCAAAATCTGAATAACACGTGTATTATATTTCCTACATTCATGTTTTATACTTTTCCTCGCAAATGAATTCAAGAACGGTCGCGAAGCAGAGCAAAACCTCCGACCGCATTAGTAGCCAGTCGATAGGATGTCAACGGACTGAGAAATATTTTTTTTATCGCAAAAAGTCTACGTCGAAAGGCGCTTCAACGTAGATGACGTAGGGAAGGAAGGGACCCCACGCGGAGATGAGGTCAATGGGACAGCCATCGGAGTCCTCATTGGACAAGGGTGACCACTTTTTCCAGTGCAAAAAGCCACTGTCACAAACCTCCAAGTCGGTTTTCAATTTTTTTTTTTTTTTTTTTTTAATCGCACTCCGACAATTCGGCGTGATTTTCGTCCATCGACTTCGACTTCAAAGTCAATCGGAGGAGTAGAGTATCGAGAACGTCGATTTCGCATATTGTTACTGTCTAACGGAAAAAAGAAAACGTTTTTCTGTGAACACGTAGCATTCATCTTAACCGAAAACGAGATTTTCTCTTAAAATCTCAAACGGTTGGGAAACGAGCTCCGTCAATGCATGCATATACTTTTTCTTTCCACAACGTGTCCTACAAAAATATCTTATTGTTAGAACTTTTCTTTTTTTCTTTAATCCCAGAGTATATCCCAAATTCTTATCCTTAGAAATATTATCAAAGATCGAAGATTAACACGTGATTCAGAAACAATAAAACACCAAGATTAGATCTATTATTATTAAAAGAATTTTATTAAACAAATACAGTTTTCACTTGTCTTTTTCATCTCTGTTTCTTAAAAAAAAAAAAAAATAAGAAAATAATCGAGAGTTATTTTTCCACTGTTTCCCCGTCGATTTATTTCCCAGGCCAATGGGGAGGGGGGAGAGAGGAGGGTGCACGATGATTTAAATCTCGCGGTCATAAAATCGGGACGACCGCGGATAAAGTCGCGCGGGAATATATGACGTAGCCGGAGAAAAAGACGCCGAAACAAATCTTCATTTCGGGGTAACCGGCGCGCGAGCGGAAAAAGGCAGGCAGTAACGACGGATATGACTGTGTTTCGCAGCCGGGAAGACATGTGTCGCGTGCAGTTATATCATTCTTTATGGGCCAGCGACGCTGGGTACCCTTCTGTTCATTCGGCGTCGACTTTCGTCCTTCGCGCAATATTTGGAGGGGGCTTGATTTACACGGGCATAAAAATGTCCCCGCATCGCGTATGTTGATATCACCTTTGGCTCCATACGCGGTAAGAAACTCGTGTATCCTTTGACAAAATCGAGATAAAGTGTCTTTTTGCGAATTCTTAAAATTCCCTTCCACAGATTTTTCTTAATTTGCAAGAAGTGTCTAAATGTCAAAAATCTGCAAACTATGGTATAAAAAAAAATTTTATAGAATGTATGTCCTTAAAAACTTTTATGCTGCAGAGAGAAATATAATAAAGTTCGTGAGAAAATTAAAGTTAAAGAATTTAATTATGTGTGATTACACGCACATACGATATATAATTAGATAATGGAGAATAAATGTAATTAAATAATAAAATTTGACAATTAAATATGTTTATGTAACGCGTGTTTGTAATACATTATTTCCATGTTATACTATTTAGGAATTTTGCTCAAATATTTATAATTAAAACATTTATATGTTATTACGCAAAATTAAATGTTATTACACACTAGCTTTAGTGATAATTAGATATTTGTCGTTACACATATATATGTAACGCACACATATCTGCGCGTAAAACATAATACTCTTAATTTGCGCGATTATTTTATGAAAAATATAAAACCGCCGCAATTTTTTTATTTTCTCCTACGCCATCGAGATATATATTTTTATTCGTTTCTCGAATTTTCATTGTCTATTATTTTCCACTAATTAAATTTTTTCTTCCACGTTACGTTTGAGAGTATAACGCAATCATTGTGGCTTCGTGAAACACGACGTAGAAATTACCCGAGGATCGAGGATCCTATCGATTCTCACGCGCGTATGACGACGTCAACAACAACGACGTCGCCGACGACGGCGAAGACCAACGAACCTACCGAGGAGGGGGGGGAGGGCAATAAATAACGGGAATATCAAAGGGTTATCAGATCTAAGCAGACCTCCTACGTCTGGCGTAACTTCTGACACGTGGAGTGACGATGCTGTAATGTCGGCGGCAAAGTGTGCGCGTAGTAGGGTGAGTTTGTGGGAGCGAGGGGGG